ATTCATTGAGTTATAACTGTATGGTTATAAGTGTATGGTTATAAGTGTATGGTCTTAATCTGTAAATAGTGGCATGCATTTGAATCTTTATCTCAGGGCAGTCATTTGATCTGATTGGATGAGTGTTGAGCAGAGTAATGAGAAACCATGTGAATGGTCCAGCAGATACAGCTTCAGGTCCCTATTACCTTCATCGTCTGAGCCCTCTAGTAGGTCACCTAGGACCTTGATCACTTCAGCATATGAAGTATTATAAGATAAGAAATAGGGTAATTGCCAGTGTTCACAATGGCATGCAGTGTACATGTTTCGTATTATCAAATTAGGCTAAAATTTTAACTTTATGCTACAGTGCCAGCAGGTGGTGCAGATTCAAGTCCAGGAAGGGCCTCTGCTGTTTTAGCATTGATTAAAAAAAAAAAGAGGCAGTTAAACCGGATTGTTTATGTAAAATGTTCCAGCTGTATAAATGGACAGCAGTGCAGATGTGTCACCGCATGGGTCTTGTTGGAAGTATGATCTAGAACATTTTGGGATGATGTGATTGTTTGCTTGGTAAGCCAAGGAGTCTGCCAGTTGGTCCATCTTAATTTAAGTAAGTGAAAATCTTGCTGAAACGGTGTTGATTTTTGGTGACGGGGGGGGGGAGGTGGTGGTGCAGAGTGGAGAGCCATGCTTAGTCAGTCTGCTTGCCAGCCCACCAAACAACCTGAAACCCCTTGCATCACCTAACCACAGCTGGACTAACCCACACACCATCTGGAACATGGAAGGCTGAGAGAAGGAGCGTGGGACTTCTCAAGTACTGAAATAATGGAAGATAGTATCGGCAAAATGTTTACGATGAATTAACAGAGAATAGGTCAAGTCATTAACTGCCAGATAATTCTGGAACGACAGCAATTTAGAGTATTATCTTCTTTCAGTATAGTTTGTCAAACATTCAGTCTTAATTAGACATTTTTATTAGCCATAGATACTTGTCATTCTGGATTATAAGAGGGTTTAAGGAGTCTAGTTTCCCATTGCAGTTGTGGGTCTCATTCAGCTGTATCACCATTTCCATGGCACCGTTCTGTTGCAATATCTATGCTACTTTTAGAATAATGTTATCTGCCCACTTGGACAGGGACACTGCAGTGATGGATCCTTTGTGGTAGAGTTCCATCAGGAAGGGTTTGACATCAACCATGGTATACGAGTACAGATACATGGTCTGCTGAGGTTGTTCCACATGGCCTTTGTGCCTGAATGCAAGACTGATGACTGAAGATTGATGAATGACAAACTGCTTATGATGACGGATTGTAATTAGTATGACTGAAGCAATGTTTCCAAACTGTGCAAGGGTAGATGTGCTCTGAAGTATTTTGTTACGACACTTCATGCCATTCTGAAATGGAATCCTTTTCGGCATTATGTTGAATTTCATTCCAAAAGATTTGTTGCATTTGGAAGTTGACCGGAAGATATATTACAAGTTAAGGGAGAAGTTTGGGCCTGATAATTCCCTGAAGGTTAAGCTCTTTTTTTGTTGGATCTCCCTGTCTCTCCCCTTCCTGGGTATATTTGTTATGGTAGCCCCCAGTTAGTACCATGCACATTTCTTAATGATTTTAAATCATTACTCATTAGCAGATGCTACTGTGGCTTACATAGAATTAGACCCGAAAGTCTTAGTGCATCCATTGCCTTTATTCATTTTGTCAGCTGGAGGTAGCAGCAACGATACAGGTTTTAAGCAACAACATCCAGTGCCGCCCCGTTACATACTGTAAGTTTTGCCCACCTTCGTTCCACGACTAGTTCAATGATGGACAAAATGTCTGAGCCATCACAGGCTGAGAGTGACATAGTTTGTTTAGCTTTCCGTCTTTTCCTCCCTGCTTGTCTGTGATTTTTCGACAGGGTTTGCAGTAGTCGGGGGCTGGGGGAATTAAGCTATCAAGTCTGAATCAACTATTCATCCATATCCACCCATCTGAATGTTCCCCTGTGTGTTCCCATCACAGTGCAGACTGGTCATGCGGTGTGACAGGTAAAACCATCCCCAGAGCTACACTACCTTTGAACAATGGGTTCCTCTAAATCCCAGGGCCTAATGAACTAAGACGGGCTGAGCTGGGGAATCTGTTAGCTCATGGATTCTCTTGGCCATGCCAACAGGAAGTGAGATGCATTCTGGGTAACCGTTCTTATAGGGTCAGTTGGTTTAAAAAAGCGGAATAGTCTCTTTTGTGCCCTTTGTCAGGGAGGGGATTTGCTGTATAAGCAATGCAGTCTGCTACAGATTAATCTGGCTTTTTCCACCAGACATAAAAATATGAAAATATCAGCGGTTATTAAATGGAAGCATGCTTGTTTTTGGCTTGGGATGGCTGGGGCTGCAGGGTGAATCACTGTATCAGTCAGTGAGAATTGTGACGTTTTTGTGTCTATGGTGGTTAATCTCTATAGTCACAATGAACCACACTCACCACAGGTGACTGATTCATATAATCAGGAATAATTAGTGATGTGTTCAGGAAAATGGTCCATTGATTTTATTACAACTGATTGTTCCATTGGAGGTCTATATTCTTTTGAGTCTCATGGAAATAACCTGTATCCATAGCTTTTCTTAGCAAATGCCCAATGCAAATGACCAAGACTATATTTTTAACTTTCAATTATGCTTTTAACATAAGTGTGGTTTTGTACGGTCCTCCTGTGATTTAACCCCATAAGTTGTATGCTGCTCTTGGTCATTATAGTTTATAATACTCTGTGTTCTTGTTCATGAGACATCACCATTTTATTGCTCAGGATGAAATGCACCATGTAGTGGGCTGAAATGCCCTCTGGCTGAGCGCTGAAGTCAATCAACTTTTGGGTGAATTAACTGGATATCTGTTGTCAGTGAATGAATACATTTTTGTTGCAGAAGTATTTTCCAGAGGGAATCTAAAAAAAAAAATCACTTGATCTATTTACTAGAAAATTAGGGCAAAGTCCTCTAAGCCAGCGATTCCCAGCCTGTGGGTTGTGATCCAAATTTGGGTCGCGGCACATTCTGAAAGGGTCATGAGGCGGAGTTGGAAATGTAAGCATTTTAAAACCAGCAAGCTCCTATGCTGATCCACGATCAGATTTCCCAGCCACAATCCTAGAATTAAGCTATGTAAGCGGTTCTTCGATTTGCAACTGCTTAGCGCAAAACTAGTGAACACTCAGCCAATCCAAGAAGCCAAGCCACAGATGCTTGTCACTGGCACATCCAATCAGATGTGTGTGATAGGCATTGATTGGCTTAAATTGCAGAGTGCACTGTGCGCTTGATCATAGCATTAATTCACACCTATACTTGATATAGGTTCACGACTGAGCTGGCACGGTAAAAAACATTACCACTGCTCTAATCATGCCTTTACAATGAGATGTGATCCTACTTAGCAGCTAGCCAGGGTAATGTTAAATTCTGATTATAGTAAGTGGGATGTGTATCTCCCAAATTCTCAACAATACTATGTGCCAGGTCCAGGTGTTTTTGTGAAAATAATGATTGTTTTTCTCTCATCGCTAACATTTTGGTGTGCTCTGGATTGTATATCTGAATGACCTGTACTATCTTACGGTGGTATGTGTTGGGGTGCACATTCTGTTCTTGGTAGGTAATCCAGTAATTAGACTGGGAGGAAGCTGGAAACTTTAGTGGGTATCTAACTGCGTTTACGTTTCCGATTACATCAGATTTCAGGGCAAATGAGTGTCCTTGAACAGCTAGCCCAGATATCATATAGGTTCGTATTTGTTGATCTCGCTTGGACATTTTCCAGATGTTTGGTCATGTTTTTGCGAGCAGCGGCATGGTGCTGATGACTGTCTGTGTTTGGCTCGCCTGTCATATTAAGGTGATATTAGGAATGGATAAAGACAGGTCTATTTTCCAGTTATCATGAACACAGTACAGGTATCTTCTGGCTATTGTTTTGTGGGGAGCAAATATGTAACGTGAAAAGCATTTTGGGGGAAGATTTTTTTCATTGGCATCCAGTCTTAAACAAGCATTTTTTTCTGGTTAACTGATCTTATCAGGGAACTAAACACGTTTTAGCTAGTCCACATGTGTACAAGGCAGTGTTTATGGTGCCTTTTTTCATACATAACTAGTGATTTATTCTGGATTTATAGATATTTATATCATTATTATATTTTCACAAGTAAAACTTTAACTTTTGAACTTATTATGAAAGTTATGAAATTATATATTGTATAGTTATACTGCATTTAGTCCTTCTGTATTGTCCTTTTGGCTGCTGTAACAACACAAACTTCCCAACTGTGGGATTAATAAAGGTTTATCTTATCTTATCCTATCTTATATATAAGTGTCCCATGACTCTGTTTAAATTTTTGGATAATGCAGTTTGGTTCCAGTGGGACCTGGGTCATGCATACATCACAATACCCAGCATCCACCTCAGCTGCACCAGCCAAAACTAGTCAATGAAGGTCCGATGGCCCCCATGTGGAGAGGAAGTCCCATGCAGCTCCGTTATGAATGTCGACACAAGCCAGCAGTCAGCACAGTGCTCTGGAAAAGATCATAGGTGGTTGAGTATCTTGAGGACTTGACCAGCCATCAGCAGAACCAGCTCTATGTAAAAATCAAACCGATTTGTCCTCATTATTACTCATTAATAGTGTTGCCTGTGCACATCTACACAGGAACTGCTGCTTCCTCCCTCAGTAATAAGGTGACAGGAAGTGATGAAGAAGTGGTTTTAGTGTCTGTGTGTGTGTGGGGGGGGGGGTACAGCTGGTTTGGAACTAATTTGGAAAAGAGAGTAATTTTAGAATAATCACATTTACATTACAAAAAAAACAAATGTGCAAATGCTGCCCTCAAACACAGGTGTTAAGGGTCTGCACAGGACATGTTATTTGTATATCTTCAAGCAGTACAACACTGTATATAAAATCCTATGCTGTTCCATTTAACTGTTTTTTGCTTCATGCAGGGCCAGCCAGGGCCCCTGGGCCCAATCGGGCCAAATGGGTCTAAGGGCTCTGTGGGAGACCAGGGCCCCTCGGGGCCAAAAGGTGAGAAGGGGCATCCAGGAATTAAAGGTCCATCAGGCCCAAAGGGAGACAAAGTAAGTTCTCAGATTTCTCAGCATCTTTAGGTCTTGTCTTTGTTTCCTTACAAAGACATGCATTCAGGTGAATTAGTAACTCTGAATTAAAGCTGCTGATTGTACTGGGAATCAGGAATGAAGTGATATTTTGTCAGTGTGCCTCCAGATTACTAAGTTTCTAACTGAACATATTAACAATAGATAGGTAGATGGAGGCATATATAAAATGCTTTATATGCAGTTTGTGATTTCATTGTTTTTTACAGGTAACATGTATTATCAGCTTTCTGTTTCTCTACTGATGTCTACAGATGTTCATCCATTTCCTGCAGTATCTTTCATCCATGTGTGTACCGACTTGTATCCATGGTCATGTGTTCACAGGGACCAATGGGTGTGCCAGGGTTCCCAGGGATAGATGGCGTTCCTGTGAGTGTCACCCCTTGAATTCACACTTGATATTTCTCACAATTTCACCCTTCTCACGTCTTCACCCATAATAGATGTATTCCTTTCCCCCCATACCTGTGGAACCTGCGACTCTGCTCAGGAAGGAAGTTAAATAAGATGAATGTAGACCTCCTCCTAGTGGTGATAACACATTTACGCCACGGCAGGGTCATCCTGGCCTGGAGGGGGGCGGGGGACCCCCAGGCCGTGACGGCTGCAACGGCTCTGTGGGTGATGTAGGTCTCAGTGGGGCAGATGGCCCAGAAGGACCTCTAGGACAGCTGGTAAGTTGGTTGGAGAGAGTCAGTTACCCATTCTGGCTTCAATGTGACAAGACACAACCTAGCTAATAAGTGTTGTCACATTTTCTACCATCTGCTTCCCGTTTTAGGGACCAAAAGGGCCTAAAGGACAGAAAGGAGACCCTGTGTACTCTGAACGCCCCAACGTCGGGCTCAAGGTACCATGTCCTTTTCACATTTATGATATATACCTCCTTCCATGCACGTATCTTACATCTTTCACATACTACCTATTACTGGTCAGCAAAGACTTGGCAGGTATAGATGGTGCCTAAATTGGCACGAGTAAACTTACATAACCTTGCTGAAACCACAAAACTCCCCAGCCAAATGGATCGGCTTCGCCCACAGCATCTTGTTGTCATTACAGACCCAGCTGTCATTCCTTCAGGCACCAGCGTGAAACTCTGATCTGGAATATACGGTTGACATCTGCCGTAGTGCAATGCATTCTTATTTTCCTGGTATTTTGTAGGGGGAGCCAGGCCTGCCGGGATTGGATGGACTGATTGTAAGTGTTATACCTGAATGGAAAGACTTGCCTAATATTGTTGTTCAACCTAGTATGGCTGGAACCAGCTGTGCAATTATAAGAAATGGTCTACTGATGATAGTTCAAATGACTGAGAATCAGTTATCCGTAAAAAAGGCCAGCGTGCAGCCGTGTGTACGGCAGTTCCTATGCATGAAATGCGACTTGTTAGCCTATTAATGACACGTGTTTACTTCTTTCAGGGCCCCCGTGGTGAGGTTGGGTTCCCTGGCATGATTGGACATAGGGGTCCTGGCGGCCTTCCTGTATGTATAAGAAGGGACTCCTCTTTTTGTAAAATGTGCTGACTCTCATCTTTATACATGGAATTTGCATTACATACCCTGATTGTTTTAAACATGATTTGCATTGCATTATCTATCTTGATGAAGTTATAAGGGGAATAAAATGTTGATGCCTATAAAGTGAATTGGAAGTTGGTCATATTTGCTCTCCTATTCCTATTCTTATCTCCTACAGGGCCGGCTTGGTCCACCTGGTTTGCCAGGCCCAGCAGTAAGTTCTACAGAAGGAGAACCCAAATTCTGGTTGGCAGTTGTAGTTTTAGCTGCCCCCGTATACTGTACATTTCCGATTTTTTCCACCAAAATAAGGTTCTGAGCTAGTTTTGGGCTGACTTTGCTGGTCCCGGAGTAATTGTGGGCCAATTCTGAGATAATTCTGGCCTGGTCCTTGGCCAGTTCTCAGTTGACCTGTGATCTCTGTTCTATTCAGGGGAGCCCAGGGCTTGGCCTGAAAGGGGAAAAGGGAGACAAGGTAAGATGTTTCCTCAAACAGGCATCAACCCGGCCTGGTAAAACAGCATCTCCTCTTTGGGTGGACTGGGTTGAGTCCCTGCACCATCCACCATCTTTCTCTGCACCTTTGTTATCCTACTCTAACTGTTTTATTTATTTTTTATACCCCCACCCCTATGATAGAATGGAATATTGATATATTGATACTTCATTCATCCTAGTGGGGAAATTCTCTTTTCTTCTCCATGCAACACACAGAGTGGGGAAAGCTAACATGAGGCGGGGTTTGTATGGTCATGAAAATCCTGAAAAAAACATGAAATTAAGAAATCATATTTTCCACATCTGGAAGAGTTATGGAAAATAAAAAAAATATCAGAAAGTTTTGGAAAAGTCATGGGATTTTTGAGGACTACGTCTTTTTTTTTTTAAAAAAAATCTGCATTTGCCCCCGTATAAACCTATCTCTCTCGATCAGTACCTTGATTATACTTTCTGCATCAGAGCAGGTTATGAGTATGGTTATGAGTATCCCCTCTAGGCACTGTATTTTTCCTATTCTATGTCGCTTTCCTACTGAATATTGGCATTAAAATAACACTGGAACAAGGTCCTTAACCCCCAGGTCTCTGGGCGCCGCTACGGGTGGCTGCCCTCCACAGACAGCTTACTCCACAAAGAACAAGTTGAGGGAGGCGTACAGACGATTTCCCCACGGGGATCAATAAAGTATCGATTATAATTGTTTTTATATCGTGCAACACGGTACGAATGTACGTGTTAAAAAAGGTCTTTCAGTACTAAGATATACCTAGGACAGGCTAATACTTTTCTATTCAAGGACAGTTATTCGGTGCTTATCATGCCTCTTGTGTTGTGTTATTACTAGCATATGATATTATTTTGGCTATTAATCATAACCACTGATACCAATGAAAATGTATTTAAAAATTCAATGACAAGGTTGTTTTGTCTGATATGCTGAATAATATGTCTAAACTGGAACAAGTATAGTAAAGGGCAACAATCTGTAAATTATTATGAAGTTGAAAAAGTTTGTGCTAAAAGAAAAATTATTTATGCATGCCATTATAATTGTCCTGATGTGACATAAGCACAATATATGCATTATAAATGCCACAAATGAATGAAATAAAATATTATCTTGAAGTGAAATATTACATCCTTTAAACAAAAAAGGTGTGTGTGTGTGAGAGAGAGAGACAGAGAGAGAGAGAGAGAGAGAAAGAGAGAGATTCTTCAGTGTCATTCAAGTGGTTACTGGAAGGGACTCGTTTAATATCCAAAATAAACACTTTCACAACAGGTATAAAGTCATATCAAGCTTGTAATTCCGTGCAGGTCCTGGATGGGTTGAACAAAGGGTATTTCTTTGAATTGATTCTTGGAAATTTAGCTTGAAGTCCTGGAAATTTGTTGATCAAGGAATACAAACCCTATTGAGGATAACAGCGTCAGCCGACGTGCAGCGTCCCTTGAGTTGGGGGTTAAGGGCCTTGCTTCGGAGCCCAATGATGACATCAGTCTTTCTTGCCTGGGATTCAAACTGTTTAACAGACAGGAAGCAGCGGATAGTTATTAGAGGCACAAAGTCACAGTAGGCCTGCGTTCATAGTGGGGTACCGCAGGGTTCAATTTTAGGAACACTATTGTTCCTAATTTGCATTAATGATATTGATACCAATACATACAGTAAACTGGTTAAATTTGCAGACGACACCAAGGTGGGTGGTGTAGCAGATACTAAACTAGCAGCACAGAGGCTACAATGGGATCTTGATTTAATTAGTGACTGGGCTGATACCTGGCAGATGAAATTTAACGTAGATAAACGTAAGGTAATCCATGCAGGGAGCAGAAATATAAAGTACAGATATTTTATGGGTTCCATTGAAATAAAGGTAGCTGATTATGAGAAAGACCTCGGTGTGTATGTTGATGCTTCCATGTCCTACTCTCGCCAGTGTGGGGAAGCAATTAAAAAGGCCAATAGGATGTTGGGTTACATCTCTAAGTGTGTGGAGTTTTTTTTTTATTTTTTATTTTTTTTTATTGCCCACCACCACCCCCCCTCTTCGGAGGACAACTTTATTTACATTACATTCAAGAGTAAAGATTGTGGCCGCTCCGTGTGGAGTTTAAGTCAAGGGAGGTGATGCTACGATTAGCCTATACAATTCCTTGGTAAGACCCCACCTAGAATTTTGTGTGCAGGTTTGGTCACCATACCTTAAAAAGGACATTGCTGCCTTGGAAAAGGTTCATCGTAGAGCTACAAGAATGATTCCTGGTCTTTGAGGGATGTCTTATGAGGAGAGGTTAGCTGAGCTGAATCTGTTCAGCCTCACGCAAAGGAAATTAAGGGGGAACATGATCTAGGTATATAAGATTCTAACAGGTCTGGATACTGTTCAGTCAAATGTCTACATCAAAATTAGTTTAAATACTAGAACTCGTGGCCGTAGGTGGAAATTAGCGGGAGAAACTCTGGGTTCCTTTAAATCAGAGCTAGAGAAGATTTTAACAACTCTGAGCTATTAGTTAAGTTCTCCCCAAATGAGCCAAATGGGCCGAATGGCCTCCTCTCGTTTGTAAGTTTCTTATGTTCAAACCTGCAACCTTCTAATTATGGCCTCAGAGTCCTCACTGCTGTGCCACACACCATTGCCTTTTGTGCTGCTTCTTTGCCCTTTTGGAGTCTGCATTCCCACCCTTATCCACTCCCTGTCTTACGCATATCTGACCAACACAATATTTGTCGCATTCATTCACAAAACCACACTGTTGAGTCCCACGCAGAGTACCTCTGAATTGTTTCATTTTCTTGTTTATTCGCCAAGTGCTCGTGCATTTCCTGTAAAGCTATATTTATTGGAGAGCTTAGAGCTCGTGCCCAGATTCATGCACTGCTGTGGTGCTGGGATTTCCGTATCCCAACAGCATCACAAACACCCAGTGACCAACCCAAATGTCCCCGGGCTGTGGCAATAGAGATTCTGATTCTGATGTCTTTCACACTGGAGTCCTGTGTTTTTGTCACTGCCAACTGCTTAGTTCTTGGCAATGCACTGTTAGGTCTATACCTAAGAATGAAAGAATATGATGAAAACTGATCTGTGAACTCCCACTGAAATCACCTACTGTTGTCTATTGTCTTTTCTTTATCTTCAGACTTCAACTCAGATGTCAGGGGAGTGGTTAGGATTTAGCATGGCATTTGTAGTTCTTTTCTACCTCCCAAGAATGACCATCATTAATAAAAATAATTCTTACGTTCTTGCGTTCGTGTGCTGTTTAGCCCAAACAGAACCAACAAACTTGAGATGTGACCTTGTAGGTTGTGCGTGCTGGTTGTTGTTTTTGCATCGCTACCTAGAAACCCTGGAGAATCTTAGTACCCAGAGAAATGCCACTGTTTTATGAACTGGCTAGTAATACAGTGAATTAACTATAATGTCAAAATTAAAGATGACACCCTGACTATTGTCTCTTGCAACCTGGAGATGGGTGGTGTTATTGTATAACTTTTGCAATATTCCTGTTCTGTTCCTCTCTGTCCCTGCTTCCTGCAGTAGACAGTCTGTTGTCCTGCTCTTTCTCCATCTTTATCTGTAGCCATGTTCCCAGACAGACGGGGGAGCAATTGGGGGTGACAGACTGGGGGAATACGGGAAAAAAGGCAGCACTTATCAGACTCTGATGGAGCCTTTGAATATGGTCCGTTTTGCCTCCACCTTTCTTGAAGTATTTACATTTATTTTATACTTAGTTATACATGCAAAAACCACACATATACAGTTCAGCTGTTCCTGGTGTGGGATACAGTGTGGCCTGTATAGATTTGAGGGGTAATGTTGGATCCAGCCACAAGGTGGCGATACATAATACATGGCCATGCACAGCACAGTAGACAGGGTTGTTCAGCTTTTGGGGCTTGCAGTTCAGGTCAGGTCAGCCACCTCTTGCTGGCATAGACCAGCCTCCTCCACCCAGCTGACGGTTATCCCTGAGAACACACCCAGTGCCCCTCCACCCAAGAGCCTCCTGCACTGTGCCATGTAAAATCTTTTTTTTTCTTTGCTTGCCGTCCAGGGAGATGTGGGCCCACCTGGGGACCCTGGCAGCCCACTCAGCAATACGGTTGTGGAGTTTATGGGCTTTCCTAAAGGAGACAAAGGATCTAAGGTTTGTGAGAGCCTGTTCCAAGGTCCAGGGTACATGTCACACACAAGCTGTTCAGGCTGTCACTGGATGGAGCCCCCTACTGGCCGGGCATGTACCCCTGTCTGCTTAGTCACTGCATTTCCAGGATCACTACTTTTATTCATAGTCTCAATTAACACCTATTATTTTACTGTAGAAGTATTAATTAGATTTGATGCTTTGATAGTAACTCCACAATTTTTTTGTGGGGTTATTCGTAAGGTTAAATGTGAAGACAGGCATGAGCAGGATCCATTCTGTCCTAATGAAGAAACACAGGTTTATCTCTTCAGTGGGGAATCCTTCAAAACCCACAGCTCTGTAGAATCACAGAGTGCTTAAATTGAATTCCTGTCTGTGTGTGGTTTATGTGCAAACTGGAAGTGTTATGTGCACTGGAATGAAGGTGTCCCAGTGGTGTACAGGTAAAATAATCTGCATGTATTTTTTTTATTTAAAAAAAATCACACATAATTGTGTTTTCAAGAGTTTCATATTATATTTATAACTGACTATTAACTGTTGCACACTGTGTTCTCTTCCCTCACTGATTTTCTCTTTCAGGGTGATGATGGGTTCAAGGGCATTCAAGGCCAGCCAGGGTTTCCTGGACCTTCCGTAAGAGCCTCTGCCTTTGTGAAAGTCCTCCTTTTCGTGTTCGGTTACTAACAAGACGCATTAGGTCCAGATTACTGGTGCTTAAACGGGTTCTGTAACTCTGCCAGTCATGGGGTCCTGGTGCCTGAGCTTTGACTGGCATTTCGAAGTAGGACCATAACACAGCCGTTGGTAACTCTAGCCACAAATGCTGCAGTCCTTTAGGATTTGTAATTTATTTTTATAAAGAACAGAATGACACCTCGAACATAAGGGGAAGTAACTTATTCCATCAGATATTTCACTGCAGTGATGAAGACATACGGCAGTGCAGAAAACAAACCTCCCACTTACCTGCACAGCACCAGAAGGACTAGTGATTGTTAAACATGTTAACCATTCATTCTGAAACTTGTTGTCTGTCTTAGTATTCCTGTATAAGTACTATAATCTGAGTACAAACATCCAAGAAGGTGTATGAGGTTCTAAGGAATTGCTGTTGTCCCCAGGCCACTTTTGGGTCCCCAGGCGAGGTGGGGGAGAAGGGGATTATTGGCCTTCCTGGAGGACGGGTATGTTACTGCCTTTTTACCTCCCAGGGCACTGTGCAGTGCTACGGGAGGAAGGGGGGCATGGGCCACACACTGTAGATATTCAGGTTGCATGTGCAGTTGCAGTGTAGGTGTAGCAGGAATGTGTGCGATGCTTACTGGCGTTTCGGCCTGCAGGGCGTTCCAGGACTGAATGGACCTCATGGGCCTCCTGGCAGACCAGTAGGTTCACCCTAACGAATTCCAAGGCCGCTTTCCCCTTGCCTTCCTCGGTCTCATCTAACCTCTGTGCTTCTGCTTCTGCAGGGTTTTGTCGGCAGCCTCGGAGTCCCAGGCAGGCCTGGATTCCCTGGCCCCAAGGTGATTGTGGATTGGCAATGTCACATCCATCTAAAGTTAGCTAACCAGAACAAACAGGGCATTGGGCCTACCAGCCTACTCAGCTATGAGTAGGGATAGGAAATGCATGTCATTGGTGAGGATGACCAATGTTTTTCTGTCTTTAGGGCTATCCAGGAGATCCAGGGCCCCCAGGACCTACTATTTACAGTGATGGCCCAGGCCAGTATGTGCAAGGTAACTATTACTTCCTCATAGGTCATTTCACAAATGTATTATTTGTTATATATGCAATATATACAATATAACCTATTCAGAATGTTTCCTTAGGAAAGTCATTCAATGTATGATATGAGTGGAAAGCTTGGCAACGTGTGCACATGGCCCCTCTAACTTACTGCAGGCCCCCCTGGTGAGCCAGGAACTGATGGGCTACCTGGGCCACCTGGAGATCAAGGGCCAGAGGGCTTCCCAGGGCAGTCTGGGCCCCCAGGGGTCCCATCCTATATTCCAGGTAGGACAGTCTCTTAGGACGTACTCACACTTGGCCCGGTTGCCTTGTACCACGCCCAAGCACAATTGTCCCCCCTCCCTACTCCCCTGCTGGTCTGTGCTCACACTGCCCTTAACATTCCAGGCCCAAGAACTCTTTCATCATCAACATGCGACATTTTGTGTTGAAGAAAACATAGGAAGAAAAGTGTTATCGCACAGCAGAATGGAGTTCATGATTAACGTCCTCATTTTGTGGCTTATTTAGAGTCATTTTGAGTGCAATGACACAGGGCCCTATTACAGATTTATCAAGTATGCAACGTGCCAATTTTAATTTAATCATGCTCCATGTATAAGAAGTTAGTTCCATATTTGACCAAATATGTCAGAGTTTTTGTGTGTTGCATCCAGCTGTTCCTGGATACTTTCGTCAACTCAAATTTCTAGCTAACACTGCACCTCTGCCATAGACCAAAGTGATCTCTTTGCCGCAATGTTTGTTAAACGTTTGTGGCTTCCTGATCTGCACAGCCTACCCGATCTGTTCCTTCTGGGTCCAGTTCATGTTTACATGTGTGCATGTGTGTACCAGTTGCATCACTGACATCACGTCTGTGTTCTGTGCCCTGGCATGATATGGAGCCATCACACTAGTAGAAGGAACTACACATGCTTGGGGGTGAAACGTTCTTGGGCGCAGTACTATTGCCTAGTGTGGATACACCATTATTGTTTCATGGTCTTGAGTCACACGAGTGAGATTGTTCTCCTGCATCCCTCATCTCCTGCCTGATGTTCGCAGATGAGCCAGGTGCTCGTGGTTTTCCAGGGCCACCAGGACTCAAGGGGGAGAAGGGGAACCCTGGCCCGCCAAGTGACAGCCTAGAAGGGCTGCCAGGAATTCCTGGTCCCCCAGGTCTCCCAGGACCCCCTGGCCCTAAAGGGGTACCCAGTAAGTGTAGTAAGCAGTCTTTGAGCTTTGCGTCACTCCTACTGACAACAATGAAGAATACAAGTTAGATCCCCACTACAAGGGAGCTTTTTACAGATTCCCCGATGATGAATATACTTTCGGGTGATGGGTATAGTTCAGAGAATGGTACTGCTGCTCTCACAATATTCACTTACTGAGATCCTCAAAGCATCCTTTGCAGAAGTTAAACTGGTTTAGCTTCAAGTCCCACATTATTCCTTGGTCAGTAAGTCATGACCCAATTAAATAATAACAAAACACAATAAAAGCGACAGTCAGTGGAAGGGATAACATTTTTTTTTATGTGTTTTTTTGTCTGCAAATTCATGAGCCAGCAAATAAAATATGGCTTGTTTAATTTATGCAGACAAGTTCTCTGAGAGAGCTGGGCCACCAGGACCAAATGGACAGAGGGGACCTCCTGGGGTCCCTGGGATCAAAGGAGGGAAAGGTACCCACAGTGCTAGTGTCGGAGAGGGTGAAACAAGCCTTCTACGTCAATGAAAATTAAGTTGACTTTGTCAGGATGGCCTACCAAGCGGCTCAGTTAAATAAGGAGCCTGAATTCGGTCATTTCTCTGCTTGTGGCTGGGCATTTCTAATGGCAGAATGGTATGGTCCTGTCAGGTCAGTGTGGTGTGCTATACAATCTTTGTATGATCTTCTTCCCTCAACCATTCGCATCTGCTTCTCCCAGGAGACGATGGGGCCTGCCAGTGCCTGGGGGATGAAGGGGTTGGGTTGCAGGGTCCTGAGGGCACAGAGGGCCCTCATGGCATGTTCGGATTAGATGGCCCCAAGGGCGAGGTTGGTGATCAAGGGCCACAGGGCTTCACTGGTGCTCCAGGTCCCAGGGTGAGTCATATAAAATGAGTATGGTCACTGGAGCTGTATGCTTCCTCCGTGGTTTATTGTTGAATGAAGTTCAGTGACAAGCAGTTGATTGCATACTAATGCAATTTCACAGTCATCCAGTGTGAGACTGGCTATCTTGTCTCCTCAGGGGACCAAGGGGGAGCCAGGCTTGCCTGGGCCAAAGGGAATCAAGGGTGATACATTCATCCCTGCAGGATTAAAAGGCTTGAAGGGTAACATGGGTGATCAGGGTCCACACGGCCACCCGGGGGATATTGGTCGGCCAGGAATAGATGGACTCCCCGGCTTTCTGGGGCTGCCTGGACCTCCTGTGAGTCATTGTCCTCCATCTCATGTCTACACGTGCTTGATCCTTCCTTCTTTTCTTAAATATATTGGGGTATCGATGGTCAGATGTTCTTCAAAACCTCTTCTTCTGCAGGGTGACACTGGCGCTGTTGGACTCCCCGGAAACCATGGCGTCCCTGGCCCACCTGGACTGAAAGGCCAGCCAGGCCGAGTGGGAGAACCTGGGTTTGGGTACCCAGGTTATGCTGGCATCCGTGGCCCTCCTGGAGATCCAGGCGCTGATGGCCTTCTTGGACAGCCTGGTTTACCTGGCCCTCCAGGTAAGGTTCTTTTAACCAGCTGGGTTCAATTATGTACATGCAATAGATCTGATTAATCAAGCTGTCTGCCTCAGTCATAGAACTGATTCATCCCTTAACAACAGCTGAAGCAGTGCAAGCCAGTCAACATGTTATTTTTTTAATTCTGGGTTTACCAGTTATCTGTTGAAGAATGGCATGGAAAAGAGCAGTTTATGATTGAATAATAAAATGTTTTTCGCCAGGGACCCAACATGTTAGAGGAATTTGTTGTAGTGAATTAGTCACAATGAGTATACTTAACATATAATAAACACCTCATACTTCTGATACTCAGAAGCGCTTCCCTTGAGTAAGAAACCCTGATAGAATCTCCTAGGACTAGTATGACAAAAACACAAACAGAACACAGGACGCCAAAATACTGTGGCTGCTGTCTTACTCAGATTACTATGTACGTCATTATCAAGTTAAAATCATAGATCCAGCTTCGCATCAGTGTGAGATAGTCAGATAGTCAGGGAATAAGGGGAAGTGTCTGTCCTGCTCTGTCTCCTGCTAGTAGGGGTAGTGTCTCACCAATTTTTCTCTCCTGTGCCCAGTCTGAAGATACCCTCATCACATGGTTCGGATTGTTGCGACAGGGTAACTGCATGAGCCAATGGTGTAGTACATCAAACATCCCAGAATCAGTTTCCTTTGTGCTGTCATATAACGCTGCACAGCAACAAAATGTGCATGGCCTAGCGTTGATGTGTTTGTATATGGGTAGCGGGAATGCCACAGCAAATATTTCTGGCCTGGTTTTTCTTTATTCAATAAAATGATTCCATCCTGACTTGGGGGAACATAGAGTGCATGAACGAAGGGTACTACTCCCTCTCTTTTCGAGATGGAAGCATTTTGATTAAACGTTGCTTTCGTGAATGAGCCTGGTGAATCTGTTCCTTATGAATTGCTTTACATTTGCTTGGCTATGTCCGCACAAAATGCCCTTACAGGGAGTCTTGCCTGCTTGGTGATCTGTCAGTTTCTCTGACGACCCTGCACATGTCGATTGATTAGGTGACTGTTGCTATGGTGAGGCAGAGGTTAATGAGGGCTCTGTCGCGGAGGGTGGTCAGATTCTGCCTGTCAATGCTGTTTCCGATTTTGCTTGGAAAATTGTATACACCTTGATACTGCAAGAGGGATGCTGTAGCGTTGCCATGGTTTCAGTCTGCACTGGACTAATCTGGCAGTGCCTATTTTGGTCCATCAGCCCTGCTGCATGTGATCTAAGCTGTCCTGCTGGGTACTTTAATAAACAGCGATGTGCGTAATAATCTGTTTTTGTAAAATGCCCCAAACATCCCTAAAACATGTTTTCCTCATACTGATATGTTCAAAAACAAAACCTAATTTAAACTAAATTATTAATGATTAATTTAAAATAAGTCATTAATGATTAACGTTATAAATTTCATTATTAAAGTTAATCTTTTTATCATGAAAGAATGAAATGTGTGTTTATAAAATGTAGCAGTTGTTATATGAGAATCAATTATAATGTAAAGGTTGAAATAATAACATAATTTTAGAAGAAGATGACGGCAGGTTATTGGACTTCAGTATAAGAAGGATGATCCAGATAACCATAGAAACCGTGTTACCCTAGTAACCCCTCCTGGTTGTCGACAGGAACCACGCTACCCTGTCAAATCTCAGGTGAAGATGGAGAACCAGGGCCCCCTGGTTTGCCAGGCCCCCCAGGTAACATTCAGAGCTCTACACTGTACTCACAAGGAAGCTCCATGTCTGTGTGTTGTCACTCAGAAAGCTTTCAGGTTCCCTCTGCTTTCATTAGTGGACATATTTCATCAGGGGTTTCATCAGCTCATAATCATGTTAGGTCACTTTCTAAAACATCTGAATTCAAAGTCAGATTGCCTTTAATGATTAGCAATATCATGTAGGCCACTACATTGTAGCTATAGCTGAGACTACATATGGATGAGATTGCATGTGGCTGCACTGTTCCCAAATAGAATGGCAGTGTGTACGTCTTGTCTGTATTGCTGATGCTGTTAACAATGGTTTGCTTCTTGACTCAGGACTGGAAGGACAGTCTGGTGTTCCTGGAAAAGCGGGTCGACTCGGTTTCGATGGTGTAAAGGGTGAGAGAGGCGAGCCTGGCTTTGGCGGACTGCATGGGCCACAAGGTGAGAGCACATCTGCTGTGGAGGGGTCTTGATGAGGTCACATGTTATCCCTCTCCAACATCTCACTCTGAATTAACAGGCTTTCCGGGGCCGCGAGGGGATCCGGGGACCCCTGGACTTCCAGGGGAGAGCAGGCCGGGACTTTCTGGGAGGCCCGGACTTCCAGGGCTGCCTGGGATGAAGGGGCAGCCAGGCGAGGTACTGGATTCCCTTGGGGCTCAAGGCTTACCTGGCCTGCCTGGAATAGATGGAGCTAAGGGCGAACCTGCGGAGCCAGGCCTCTCAGGGACCCCTGGTGAGTTCTTCACCCCGCCCCATAAAACCTCAGTATTAAGTTTGTAGTGAATGTGGAAGTTCTCCCCAGGATTATGTGACCATGCTTGGCCAGCTCTCCTATTGCACTTGCTAACCTGTTCCCTGCTATCACAGGTCTCGATGGGCACACAGGGAATCCTGGGATGAAAGGGGAGCGTGGAGTGGATGGTCCAGTGGGGATCCCGGGTATGCCTGGGCCCCCAGGTGCTGCCTTTGGACCACCAGGACCTCCTGGAAGAAAGGGACTTGTTGGAGCTCCAGGTCAGAATACTGCCTAGTGAAGGCAAACTTAAAAAGCATGTATTCCTAATCATGACCAGAGGGAGGCAGTATGGCTCCAATAAAGCACTAATTTTACAGCCTGATCTAATGGGAATTGGGGGATAATGATTGATCTCCATGGTTTTAGCGGAGTCCAGTTCTTTCAGTGTTCTCATGCTTTGTGTATTACTGTGAAGAAGAATTTCAGCTTGCGATTAGTAGCATGCAGACTGCTAGTCTGTCCAGAGATAACCGTCTGGATAATGAGCAGTATAGCATATATGCTAACAGGTACTGTCACTGCCCAAATGATCAGGTTAATAATTTTTTGTTTAAATTTTCCTTTCTGGATGTTTTTTTTTTTGTTGTTGTTCTCCACCTTCACCCTCCCATCCCTTCATTTCTGGGGCTTGGTAAGGCTGCCCAGGTGAGACTGCCGTCTGCTACGAAGCCCCGCCCACCCAGGGCCCGCAGACTATAGCCCTAACCATAGAGCGACACTCTGCTTTAACCCTCCAAAGCCCATCCCCAGCAGAGATCATCAGACATGACAGCCAACATGCTCTCTCTTGTCCTTCATATTTGATCCACAGGAAAATTATGAAAAATCCATGTTTGGGTATTTAATATCTATACGGGTCCCACAGTTAGATGACTTAATAATCTCATTTGGGGGGCTCCACACTTAATCAGAGAGATCCCAGTAGAGTCTGAGAGTGTGTAACTTAGGTTATGCCAGGAAGATGAGGATCAATGAGGGAAGGTAGCAGAAACACGTCTGCAGTTAGGCTGTACAGGTTGGCGTCCCTCTGATCCCCAGCTGCCCTTCCCCTGGCTCTGGTGAGACTGGGTCCTGGATCTTTATTAACATGAGCCTAGGCGCCCATGCGGGCATGTGCCTAATCCTGCTGTGCTTGTGTGGCTCCCCTTTAACACATCCCAGCCCACAGACTCGACGCTCCTGACTGTAGAGTTACGCTATAGCCTGCTGTGTTAGTGCCGTTCTGCTTTATAGGCTATTGGCAAAGGGGAAGCAAAGTGATTGGCTGTGTACTGCAACAGTTTAAGCTTTTTGTTCATGTTAGTTGGTATGTTCAAGATCCTTCCGTGACTCAGTCAGTGTTGGGGAAGTTACACACAAAACTAATCCCTTAAAGACAGAAGTAGAAAGTTCAGGTCCAGAAAGTACAAATCCAGACCAAGGTTTTGTTTCAACCAACTAGTTGAATACTATGTGGCTGTAACTCTTTATACTCAACTGGTTGGGTGAAACTAAACCTTGGTCTAGATTTGTACTTTCTGGACCTGAACTTCCCACCACTTTTAATGCATTACTTTTGTGAGTAACTTCCTCAGCATTGGCCTCAGTGTTCCTCCCCCCTCAGCAACACGAGGATGGCCCCACAAGGTGGCCATAGCAGAACCTCAGCGGTGATTGCTGTTCTGTTGCTTGCAGGATTTCCAGGACCCCGAGGCTCATTAGGTGACCCTGGGACCTCGGGACCTCCTGGAGTGAAGGGGCTAACTGGACCGCCAGGAGCCCCGGGGTCCCCAGGATTTCAAGGGTTCCAGGGCCCCCCAGGAGTTGTAGGGCGAGACGGGATCCCTGGGGAACCAGGACTGAAGGGTAAAGGGAATTTCCCCTGGATAATTACAGACTTCTGCCACTATCTGCTGCAGTATGTGTTTCTGCTTGTGTATTTGTTCTGACGTATGCAATTTGGTGTGCTTCTACATGTGTGCACATTCAAGTATGTGAAAGTAGAGTGTTCCTATAAACCATTTGTAATGGCATAAAGCAAAGAAGCAATTGCCATTAAGTGATATGGGAAACTTTTTAGCATTCCCAGCCTGAAAAAATACCCCACCAAATCATACCAAATTGCACAAGATAACACTAACATATAATAAAAGCAGAATAAATACACAGCCAATATAAAGTAGAAATAATGTATGAATAATGTAATTTCACATACCCCAATCAATACAGTCATGCGTGGCCTAACGACAGGGATCCATTCTGAGAAATGCTTTGGTAGGTGATTATTTTCATCATAGAGTGTACAAACCTAGACGGTATAGCCTATTACTGACCCAGGGTGTATGATATAGCCTGAATAACGATAAAAGTACAGTATAGTAAATACATAAACCAGTAACATAGTTGTTTAATATCATAATCAAGTATTATGTACTGTACATAATTGTACGTGTTATCCTTTTATACGACTGGCAGAGCAATAGATTTGATTACACCAGCATCATCACAAACACGTGAGTAATACATTGCGCTATGACGTTTTGACGACTATGACATTGGTAGGTGATAACATTTTTTTTGCCCCATCATGATCTTATGGGACTACCGTCATGTATGCGGTTCTGCGTTGACCGAAATGCCGTTATGTGATGCGTGACCGTATATCTATCATTGACTTGCTGATAAACAAAATGCCAAACGTTATTTTTGCTTTTGTCCTTTTCGTAAAAGCGAAAATCTGCTTCAGATTTCTTTCAGTTAGTGAAAACAGGTGCTAATGTAGGTCTTTTGTAAAAGCGACATAGTGCAAAGTCAACATTCATAAAGCAGGAATATCTTTACATGCATTTGTGCTCTACAGGTGAGAGAGGGATTTTGGGAATGTTGGGTTTCCCTGGAAAATCCGGATCTCCTGGGGGTCCTGGGCTTCCAGGGGCTAAAGGAGTGCCAGGTTCCCCCGGAATGGAGGGATTGCAAGGAGAGACTGGCGGAAAGGGTCAGAGAGGTACAGCTCACTCTGAAGTGCCACCACCTGAAAAAGTGGAGGCGATGAAAACCTGATTAAAAGAGAGGCGGTGTGACACCTGCTGCATCCCAGACTGCTGTGTGTGTTTCAGGGATCCAGGGGAACCGTGGACCTCCTGGGCCGACACCCATCTTGCCAGTGCTGATAAAGGGGGATGAAGGAGACAGGGGACCTAGTGGGCTTCCTGGCTTTCCAGGTCCAAGAGGTACGACAGCCATGTGCTCCAGAAGAACGAGGATTCATTTGTCATTAAACCTTATGCTCTGGTTAAATAAATTCACTAGGACATTCTATGATTAGTGGCAATAGGACTATATGCAACAGGGAGTAAAACGCAAATACAGCACAGTCAAATGATCCCTGTGTTACCAACTGACTGCCTGCAGGTGACAAAGGTGTTGTGGGTCAGCCTGGTCCGCCCGGCCTGTCTGGCTTCTCCGGCATGGTGAAGGGTGGCCCAGGACTCCCTGGTCTACCAGGACCCTCAGGAGAACCTGGTTTCCTTGGTCCAAAGGGCTCACCGGGTATAATGGGTTTCCCTGGCATGCTTGGGCCACAGGTGAGCACCCTCAGTTCTACAGATTATGCATTAATAGGATACTAAGACACACATATAAATGCTTCCTGCGGTGGGCTTCTGGCCCCACACTACCCAATGGGGTTGGTAGATGGATGGATGGACATCTAAACATATCTACTGAAGACCTTAGACCAGGGGTGGCGAACCTGATCCATGAAGATCCTCTGTGGGTGCAGGTTCTTGGGATGACTTCTGAAGCAGCCAATAATAAAGCAGTGGTTCTCAACTCCAGTCCTGGAGACCCACTGTTATTGGCTGATTGAGAGGTCACCCAAAAACCTGCCCCCACAGTGGCTCTCCATGGATCTGGTTCACCACCCCTGCCTTAGATGGACATGCATTCTACAGATACATTCTATAGGCACATGAAGAGATCTACAAATAAGACACACGCATATATACAGACCGAAAAAAATCCATACACACGTGCATACCTACACACGATAAGATGACGTGGCTAGGATTCCTGGTTGTCTAATGTGTGATGTCGTTCAGGGGGAAGGCGGTCCACTTGGATCACCTGGATTTACAGGAAGTCCTGGACAGGATGGGCAGAAGGGTAAGCTTTAATTTGGGGTCTTCTGGGTAATTCAGCTGAATTGAATTGTCCATTTATTCAGTATGTGAAGGTTTATAATCTACGCTTGGTCTCCTACTACCAATGTCTAGCAGCAACAGTTCTTTGTAACCTCTGATTCCCAGGTGAGCAGGGTGATTCCCCTGCCATACCTGGAGCCCCTGGTCTTCAAGGTCTTACCGGAGACCCTGGATTCCCAGGTGAGCCCCAGACTTCACTCAGTAAAGAGTATCTAGTCTGTGTAGGTGCATTCTGCACCTGTGCAACCAGCACTTGCCCATCCCATGACTTCTCCTAGGTGACCATGGGATGCCAGGCTTGCCAGGAGATGCAGGTGTTCCTGGAAGACCTGATTTCAGTGACCAGAAAGGCCTTCCAGGGGAACCAGGCAGACCAGGTTCAAGGGGTGAGTGCCGTCACATAGGAGGTACTGTAGCTCAGCATGGGACACCGATGTCACACCTGACCGGGTGCTGATGTCATTACTTACAGGACCTCCGGGCTCCTCTGGCAGTCAAGGCCAGACTGGCCTCCCAGGCATGAGAGGCCTGCAGGGCTTCACTGGCCTTCCTGGATCCCCTGGCCCTGAAGGCCAGAAAGGTGCATGAACCGACTCACTGTATCACCCCTTAATCCTTCCTTTGGGAGACCTTCTCCCTACCATTAATGCATTATAGTACAACCAAAACATGAGATGTAAGTACCCTGTTAAACACAGATAAGTAATACTGATGTTAAATAATATACAAACAGTGGTGCAAATATAAAGTGTATTTCAGTAATTACAGATGCTCACAAGGTTATGATGGTCCATGTGACAATATTTCGACTAAATGTTCTGGGTAAATGTTTTTCACTTTCAGTACATTATTCAATAAATCGCATGAGATATTCAGTGTTAATGATTCTGCCCAACTGTAGGCTAAGGTAAGTGTTCAAAGCATGTTTAAGGAAGGTTAGGTTAGGCGTACTGTATTAAAATGCATTTTCAGAAAGTACTTCAGAAAGTAACTCCTTCAAATTTAAAGAAATTTATTAAAAAAAAATAGAGCACTTATCACCCATTTACATAGGTATTCAACCCATTTGCTATGATACTTCAAACTGAGTTCAGATATATTTCGTTTGATCATTTCAGACATGTCTTGAACGTGATTGTAGTCCACCTGTGGCACACAGGCACACGCCTTTCTGAAGGTACTCTCTGTATTAAATGTATTTTGGGAACCTGGAGTCCAGCATGATCCTCTCTCCACTACAGGACGTCCTGGTCCTCCTGGACTTGATGGGCTCAATGGACTGAGAGGGGCCATTGGTCCACCAGGAACCCCAGGTGAGTGAGATCCTCTTTCTGCTTGTTCTGGCTATGTTGGCCTTCCTAGCTGATCATTTGTTAGCATTTTCCACTCAGTTTAGATAGACAGAACCAAGAAAATAAAGTGACCACATTCAACAAATCAGATCTAATCCTTTTGTCATTGGGAATTAATATCTACAGGTTCAGATGAAAAAGGCCTTCCAGGGCTTCCTGGTCCTGCTGGCCCTAAGGGGGAAAGGGGCGTTGGCCAGCTCGGTGCCTGTGGTGTCCCTGGGGAGGTGGGCTTCAGAGGAGATCCAGGTGAGGATTTGAATACCACGTTTATTCTGTAGGTACGAGAAGCCTGCCCATTCTCAGATAGAAAGTAGAGTAGAGACAAGTGAGTCAAGAATTATTACACCTCAACATCAAATGTTCTTTCTGTCTCTTTTCAGTCTTAGAAATGACTAAATAGAACTGTTATTAATAATCATATACTAATAATGTCCGCAGGTAACCCCGGGACGCCGGGCATTCCTGGCCTTCCTGGGCCCAGAGGCATCTCTGTGACCTCCGACATTGTAGGCCCTCCTGGAGACCCTGGTTTACCTGGGCTAGATGGAGAGCAAGGGTTCCAAGGACCTCCTGGCCCCCCTGGTCCTGCTGGGCCCAGTACTGCCCAGGGTGACAGAGGAGACCCAGGTCCCCCCGGCTTCTCTGGCTTGCCGGGTCCACGTGGGGATCCTGGAAGCCTGGGAGCTCCAGGACTGCCAGGCGGTGCTGGACCCATTGGGGCCAAAGGTGAGTGCTGAGGGTGGCTGCAGAAGATCCAGTGATCTACAGTCTGTCTTCTTCTGAAAAGCTAATCGTGTTTCCTTTCTGCCAACCAAAATAATGAGAACCTGAGCTGAATCACCAGCACCATGTTTTCCAGGAGAAAGAGGGAACCCTGGTGTCAGTGGCCCCCCAGGGCAGCCAGGTCTTGTGGGTGACCCTGGGTTGTTTGGAATCAAGGGACAGAAGGGTGCCCGAGGTATGGTGTGGGATGCATATTAGCTGTTAGCTAAGCATTTTAACCAGCATTAAAAGAGTAACCGGTTCTGCTAGACGAGGCTAAACTCCCATCTCTTCACATCACAGGTCCCACTGGACCAAAGGGTTGCCCTTGGATGGTGGAGGTGTCAGTTGGGGATCCCGGTCCTGTTGGTGTTCCTGGTCAGATTGGAGAGAATGGCAGCCCAGGGCAACCTGGTCTACCAGGGCCTTTTGGTGAGAGTCTGAGAATGATGTGGTTTTTGCGATTGTATAACAGGAATAACATATGAGAAGGAGTGCAGTTGTACTCCAATATATCACAGCTGTGATTCGGTCATAGGCACAAGGCCTGCACACAGACGGGGAGACTTTAAGGGGACAAAAGTGCATACAGGCAGTAGAGACAGAACACAACCAGCCATACTCTGAATTTTGTATTAAAAATGATGTCATTTTGAGATGGTGAAACCAAAATGTATAAAAATACCCTTTAATGTGCACATGTGAATTGGTTGATTACAAATGTAAAACTGTGGAGAATAGTTGTAAATTAAACAGATTATGTCTTTGTCCCACACATTATTGAGGACACTGTAACTTCTCGAATAATGAATGATTGGATTTCATCAGTGATTCTGTGGTTTTAGGTCCAAAAGGGGCAGTGGGAACCCAAGGAAACCTGGGACAAATTGGGCAAGGAGGCCCACCAGGACCTGTTGGAGAGCCTGGACTTCAGGGGCTTTCTGGGCTGCCTGGAGAGCAAGGTGTGATTCGGCATAACAGGGTAGTGGATTTTTGCATGCAGGGAAACTTGGGAGCCAAGAGAAGGATTTTTATTTGTTTTCCTGAGAGGAACCAGGTGATATTTAATACATATAAGCTTTGAATGATCATATATCTGATCATATGTGTGCATGTTTGTGTGCTTGTGTTCATGTGTGTTTTTTGTCCCCCCCCCCCCACACCTCCAAAGGCACCCCTGGCAAACAGGGCCCCCCAGGGCTGCCAGGCAGATCCGCGCGAGTCAGCAGTTTTGGCTACACTCTGGTGAAGCACAGCCAGAGCAGTGAGGTGCCCGCCTGCCCTGAGGGCTTGGCACTGCTCTGGGAGGGGTACAGCCTCCTTTATGTGGAGGGCCAGGGGAAAGCCCACAACCAAGACCTCGGTGAGCCCTGGGGAGTACTACAGCAGCGTTTCTCCACCCGGTCCTCAGTGACCCCCCCAGACGCTCCACATTTTTGCTCCCTCCCAGTTCCCTGACATTTTTGCATCTGGCGGTCCACAAGGACCAGTCTGAGAAACAGGCTGATGCATGTTTTATCTGAAGTGGTCACTATATTTGTTACTATGTATCTTAACTGGGGAATCCTTTGTGAACTACTGAATGAACTACAAAGGATCTACTGACAAACTACTAAAGGAACAAATAATGAATAACACAAGTAAAATACTGATCTCATGTTTGTTCATCAATAATGAATCGTAAGACGTGTCTTATCTCAAGTAGCAACTATATTTGTTCCTGATTTGTTCAAAATTTGTACTTCGTCAGTAACTGAGTTATTACTAAGTATTTGTGCTCCGTTACGTAAAATGTTACCTTGTTCTTCTATTTCGTGATTAAGTGTTTGACATTAATTATACAGCAGCATCCCCTTTTTTCTTTACTTCTCCTTTGGCCTCCGCCGTCTCCCCAGGTCTGGCTGGGTCCTGCTTGCCCCGTTTCAGCACCATGCCCTTCCTCTACTGCAACACCAATGACATATGTCACTTCGCCAGCCGCAATGACAAGTCTTACTGGCTGTCCACGTCGGCGCCCATTCCCATGATGCCCGTGGCCGAGGAGCAGATTCCAGAGTACATCAGTCGCTGCTCCGTGTGTGAGACGTCCTCCCAGGCGGTGGCTGTCCACAGCCAGGACCTCACCATTCCCCCCTGCCCTGCGGGATGGCGTAGCCTGTGGATCGGCTACTCCTTTGCCATGGTAACCATAATCCTGCATTAAATCGTAATCCCACATTGTAGCACAGTCATCGCATCCTAGTCCCATTATCGTACATTGCAGTCATAATCCCAGAGTCCAGCATAGTCTAGAAAGTCATACAAATGGTGCCTAAAGACAAGTGTGGGGCACAGTAATGACAGATTCCACAGGGCGCTGCCCGCCTGACAGGTCTGTGTTTCCAACCCCCTTCCAGCACACTGCGGCCGGGGCAGAGGGAGGAGGGCAGTCCCTGGTGTCACCGGGCTCCTGTCTGGAGGACTTCCGCACCACGCCCTTCATCGAGTGCGGTGGCGCCCGAGGGGCTTGCCACTATTTCTCCAACAAGCTGAGCTTCTGGCTCACCACAGTGCAGCCGGAGATGCAGCTCCAGGAAATGGAGACGCTGAAGGCCGGAGAGGCACTCACCCGCGTCGGACGCTGCCAAGTTTGCATTAAGGTTTTCTAGGGCTTCTGCCTGAGCTAGGGGACCCCGAAGGAAACGCTCATGGCCCCTTTCGCATACAGAGGCCAGGGAGCCACCTGTGTTTGGGCTGGAAGGAGCTGGAGATCAGCAGTATTATAGCTTTAAATCTTGTGGTGGTTATGACATGTTTTATGGTTATTTTTGATTTTGCTTTTGTCATATTTCATTATGATTATGGACTTACTGGCTTCCATAGGAAAGTGTAACAGAACCTCAAGGGAAATACAATGGATTCTTTATTCTTGTTTACAGTTAGACATAAATCTGCCACACTGATCTCCGTTATCCACCTAACTTGAAGAGTCATATATATACTCTGTACACACATACACACTAGCAGTCAAAGGTTTTTGCACAAACTGAGATTTTCTACATTTGCATGTTACTCACTATAATTTACAAAAATACACTCAATATTCTTTGCTATCAAATACATTTACAATATGTTCACCATCTGAGTACCTTTATTAGAAAGAAAATATCATATATTTAATTCATCAAAGTCACCTCCTCTAGCAGCAGAGAAAATTCGAGGCATTCTATCTACAAGGGATATTAAATTCTGCCCTGTTTCGTGGGATGAAACAGTTAACCAGTGCATTTAAAGTTAAAGGACAGCCTAGAATTTGATTATGCCATCACCACACAACCAGTTAATAGGATGTCAGACATGCACTGTAACATATTCTTTCCACTTTATAAAGGAAAATTGTCTTATTTGACTTATTTCACTCATCTTTCCAAACATCTTAAAAAAACATTTAAAAATCTGCAGTTTATGAAGAAAATGGAAGAGTGGTGAAAACCTGTGGCATGCAAAAACTTTTGGCTGGAAGTCAAACACACACATACACACACGCATATATGATGTCAGCTTTACTGAGCCTTTAAAACAAACTGACAACAGTTCATCAGTATTTCACATTCCCTATGAAAAGAGCAGTAAGCCATATTTAACACATGATCAAACTAATGTGACAAACATTTGGTGCTTTGTTGATGTCACTGTGTAATGAACATTTAACTGTGCAACCACGTCTACCATAAATTGGGGGATTAGTCCTTAAATTCAATGGTGTTTTTAGAACATAAATACTGTATTTTAACCCTAGATACTATGGACATTGTCTATGCATAAAATGACAACAGAATGCTCTTTTGTAATTGTGACATTCAGTGTTCTGCTATCATTCCTACTACCAGACTACAGTTTACCATACTTTTAACATATACTTGGGCTAGATGTCTGGACTGGTGAACAACTGTGTTCTTTTTTCACTATGCAATAAACTGTTGAGCTTGAAGTTTCAAAACTTTTCACACGCCATTACTTACACTAAATAAACACAGTCCAACTGTAATTCTATGGGTATATTTAAGCAATACTACTTCATTTTTCTAATAAATTCTCATCCAAAATGGAACATGGTTCAGGTGCTGCTATATCATCCCTAATACCACTATTTTTGTTTAAACTACAAAATATGAGCATTATATGGAAATATAGATATTACATACCTGTAATACTTAACGTTTTGAATATGAATGCGTAAAATAATTTTAGTTGTGTGCATATATTCTAGTTTTGATGCAATGTGTGTGCATTTTTGTGTCCATTATAGGGTATGTCAACTTATTAAAATACATTTACTGAAGTAGATTTTAGGCCAAACATTCAAAATACCATTTATTTGGCTAACTGTACAGTAACAATCCATTGAACAATTTAAGTGTAAAAGGAAATACTATTGAAGGAAACACAGTTTGGGAATGTAATTGGCTCTTGTTCGTGAGTCGAATGATTCAACTGACGTGGGGTGGCATGGTGGTGCAGTGGTTAGCGCTGTCACTGCTGTCACCGCTGTCACTGCTCACCTCTGGGACCTGGACTCAAGTCTCTGGCAGGGTTCCGTGTGTGGAGTTTGCATGTTCTCCCCATGTTGTTGTAGGGTTTCCTCCAGGTACTCTGGGTCCCCCCAGTCCTAAAACCATGCTGAGGCTGATTGGAGTTGCTAAATTGTGTGTGCTGCAATAGGTTGGCACCTCATCCTGGTTGTTCCCTGCCTTGTGAGCCTGAATAGGATAAGCAGTTTGGAAAAAGGGTGGATGGGTTTGACTCACTGACTACAGTGGCCCCGAAAGCCACTTTTTTGCATGATAATGAGATGCAAAAATTCACATGTAAATGTTTTCTTTATATGTTGTGGTTTTTGCATGTTCTTCCTTTTTATGTCCCATAAGGCCGGGTGATGCGTACCAAAAACCACATCAGTCCTTTTAGGCATACGATATTTTCTTACGATATTTTCTATTTTTCCATTCTGTCCAATGTATTCTTTTAAATAAAAATCACGTGAGATATAACAAACATTTTTATTAATTTTATTTGCAGATATACAACTATTCAGTATAGACACTTTCTTTGTTCCGAACACAAGTCTCAAAATATGCCTGTATCTGTAGCATGGGTTAAATAAAGCAACCACGACATAAAAGTGATTCACTCAACTATGTTCACTAACAGACTCATTTTGTCCTTTTATGACACTGCTCTCAAAAGAAAAGGTGAAGGTTTTTTTTCTGTTGATAAAAACCTACTTAACACGTGGGCAAGTGTTTTCTGAATTTGTAGGGCGTCAACACTAATCAGCTACCGTAGATATTGGTGTCAAAGGCACGTTATCGAGAGTTGAATACTGTCCCTTGTGGCACGGAGCACATTAAGAAAACACATTAAGAGAACATAAGACATTTAAAAATAATGTAAAATAAAAATAAATTTGTTTCTGTTTCGTCTTCATGTTTTGCGTCTTCTTAATGTTTTTGCGTTGTTAATGTTGACGTGCTCTGGGCTTTCAGGGCCACCGTACCCATCACTATTAGGGAGAGTAGTAGGTGTCACATTCTCGGTAGTGACAACCCATTTGGTGATAGACAATAGGAATTAATAATCACGTGACTTTTACGCGACCTTCTGCCGTCAAGCAGGTCGACTCTGCCGTAAAGTCGGAGCCCGGATCGCTAGTGCACCGCTTCGTCGACAAAAACAACAACAGCAGCTGCATCTGGGAGACAGAAAGGGGCTGGACTTTGATTTTCGTCTGGTCGGGAACACTCAAACAGGTAAATATCCGTATATAAGCGGATCTTTTATTTAATCGCAGGTAAGGTTTATATGGAAAACACACATCACTGTTGTTGTTTTCAGTTTAGCTAGTTGGTATTTTAAAACGCTGGGCAGGGTAGACTGCCTAAAGTACCATTAGATAAGATCTGGATGCCGTGGCAAGTTTAGCGATTTTAGATCGCTGTTGAACAACTCGGTATCGCAATAGGTTATTATATACACCCGACTTTGAAAACTGGCAACCCAGGCTGCGAACTGCAATCGCTGCAAACTGCCCGGTGGCACAATCAAACCTTCAGCAATCAAGCTAGCTAGCTAGCATTTATTTATAGATGCTAGTTGAAAATTGTGCATTGCAGGCTAGTTTGACATTACAAGGGGCTTGATGAAATGTCTAATCTGTCTGACACCGTATCGACAAATAGTAAGTAATTACTTCTATGTAAACCTGCAATTAGAATTAACGTGGACACTGTGCCTTTACTGAATATACTTAACGTTGAGAGTCCATGTCGTGTTTGTTAATATTTTGGATTTCATTGGATTTCATTGGATTTCATTAGAGCATCTTTTAAGTACCTAGATACAGGTATTTGGCGAGTTATGCTAAAAACATGGTAAATTAAAAAACTGTAAAATATCATCTCCGTATAACGAATGTACATGTATGCGTATCTGCCTGAGAGTGAATGACAATTGTTGAATAGCTTAATTAATTTCAACAACAACAAAAAAAACTTTAATTGGTGTCACTTATTCGTCCTTGAGATGAGTTAGCAAGCTCATCTTTTTAAAGGTTATGTAAATTGCTCGGATTAAAAGAAAAACTTTAAAATAAACGTTGATACAAGTTTTAATTTTCTGTCTGTCCATGAGTATTTTCTGACTGCTAATTAATTATAATTGCTAGATAAGTAATCTTGTAATTTTATTACACCACCTTTCATGTAATAACATATGTTGCAAGATGTGTGTTAATTTAAAGTGTTGTGTATCATGTGCGTGAATTGCAGTATAAACTTTCATAGTGCTCAGCTCTTTATTGGAGTGGTTTTCCAACCCCCTATAGGTACCCTGGACTTTTCAGAGACCCACTCGGACATGTCGTATGTCTTCATCAATGACTCCTCGCAGTGCAGCGTGCCGCTGCTACAGGCTTGCATCGACGGCGACCTGAGCTACGCTAAGCGGCTGCTGGAGACGGGCTGTGACCCCAACATCCGCGACAGTCGGGGCCGTACGGGCCTGCACCTGGCTGCTGCCCGTGGCAATGTGGAGATCTGCCGATTCCTGCACAAGTTTGGCGCCGACCTGCTGGCCACTGATTACCAGGGCAACACTGCACTCCACCTGTGTGGCCATGTAGATACCATCCAGTTCTTGGTATCCAACGGCCTGAAAATTGACATCTGGTGAGTGTTTTGTTACCTTTTAAAACAATGTCTAAATTTCCTAAAGTAAAGGTTATTGTGAAGTTAAGTAGGGTCATTAAACAAAATGTATCAGTTATTTAAAGCAAAAATGCATTGCATACTTTCTCTAAAAAGAGCATGGCCCAGAATCAGCTAGGAAAACTGACACGTGGAGTGAGAGAGTGAATTACAGGTTCCTCAGAGGGCGATTTTTCAGGGGTTTTTTCAGGACTCTGGTTCTGTTGTGTGTTGTGTACAGTAACCACAACGGGTCGACGCCGCTGGTGCTGGCAAAGAGGAGGGGCGTGAACAAGGATGCCATCCGCCTACTGGAGGGTCTGGAGGAGCAGGAGGTGAAGGGCTTCAACCGAGGGGCGCACTCCAAACTGGAGACCATGCAGATGGCGGAGAGTGAGAGGTGAGCGCCAGGTCACAGCTGCAGAGTTTGGAACAGGGGCTGAAGGTTACATGTGCAGTAAGGCTCCCCAACTGCCGGTGACAGGTTCTGCCCAGTTAGCAGAATTTCACAGATGTGGAACTGGGTCTCAGATTTAAATGCGTAACACAGAAGCTGCACTTATAATAAATAAAGTCAAATGCGTTTTTTTCCCATTTAAAGTAATGTTTTATGATTTAGTTTAAACATAAAATGTGCTTCGTCGTTGCCTTGAGGGTGCCCAAACAGGATTCACTATTTATAGTGAATGACACAGACAATTAAAATACAGGTAGCCATGGCAACTAGTTTCCAACATGCATATGTTAATTTCACTGGTTACTAATCTACAGGTGAAGACTTGCATAGCATGAACAAGCATATGTGGGAAGTAGGAATTGCTTTTCGGCACGCATGGGTGCGTCACAGAGAGACGAATGGCTGAGCTCACCACTGACGTGCTCATTACATGGGGATGTTGATAATATGGCCTGTTTTGTAGGAATCTCAGAGCTGTGGGTGGTGGGATTTCAGCGACCATGTGTGGTTTGGACTGAGACAATGTGTTAATGGGTGGTTTAGTTTGATGCATTCAAGGATGTACGCAGGGGTGGGGCCACTGGGGCACTGGCCCCAGCTGAAAGCTGATTGGCCCCTGTAGTGTCCTCTCTCCTGTCACTCGCCGATTCAAAACCTGTCATTGGCTAATGGTAAGGTGGGCTGTGTGTTTACGTGTGTTATGTGAGTGGCCTCCTCAACTGACAGCCCCTCATCCCCGTTGTCTACGCAGCGCTATGGAGAGCCACTCCCTGCTCAACCCCAACCTGCAGAACAGCGAGGGCGTGCTGTCCAGCTTCCGCACCACCTGGCAGGAGTTCGTCGAGGACCTGGGTTTCTGGAGAGTTCTGCTCCTGCTGGTGGTCATCGCCTTGCTCTCCCTGGGCATCGCTTACTACGTCAGCGGGGTGCTGCCCTTCGCTGCCAACCAGCTGGAGCTGGTGCACTGAGGGAGGAGATGGAAGGAGCAGGGTTTGGAGGATGGCTGGGGGGCTAGGAAGCGGCCCTAGGAGGAGAGGGGTGTAGGGGCTCATACGGGTCAGGCATTTGCTTTTTTTTTCCATTAGAAAATCACGATTATCGAGTCTTCATATTCTCCACCTCCCTCCATTCTACTTTCCATTGCCATAGCGATTATCATACTAATGGTGTTCACGACGTGAAACAGACAGGAGCTAGAAAGCTGAGCTGTGCCCTAATGAAGGTCCTGCTTCACAGGACCACACAGTCACATTATTCATACCCCGGTACCAGTATCAAGCTCCTCCACTCATATTAACCAGTTCAGCACTGAACTGGCCAGCATTCGCCCATCATGAATGATTAATTGAACATTTCTAGGTAAAACTCACCCCGCAAATGAATATTTAATACATTTTTAAAACCATTTCAGATTATCTAATATCAAACACTTCAGATATTGTAATTAGTTCTCCAATGCCAAGAAGGAAACCTTTGGTTGATCTTTTGTGATTGAATACCAAGTGACTTTCATTTTATTTGTTGTTTGAAGGAAAGCTCTAACCGATGCCATTTTTATTTGTTCTGTTTTAGTTATAGCTGTCCGGTGCCTGTTTTGTACTATAATATACTATATAGTATAAACTTGGGTGATAACAGATTTAAATTACTAATTACTCACATCTGTTTTATGCCCTTCTGTTACAAGGCACCTCTGTGAGTCTTGCACTTGTTTGTTAATTTAATGTTTCCCACTGCTCCTGTTTCTGGCGTTTATCTTTTCTCTGTATATTTCCCTTTAAACACAGAAAACAGGCAGTTAAGCCTCGAATGTACAGTGATAGGGGTCAAATGTGTGTCTCTGTTAACAAGCTCATTTGCCGGTGGATCAGACGTAATGGCGCTGGCCACAGACGCATGGCCAGTTTGTATACACAGCCAGAACTCAGAAGGTTAGTAAAGGAAGCGTGTTTGTCCTCTCATGAGATGTTCAGAGCTGCTGTTCGTATTGCAGCAACCACTGGGCCACCTTCATCATCCTGTGAGATCATTCGGCTTAATGTGGTAAACACTGACCAAATTTCCCATTGAAGGGTCACAGATTGGTAGTTAACCTGTTATGTTTGTTACTTTAAGATATATATGAGTAGGGTTAATGTAAATTCAGTAGAATCGTTTCATTTTGTACATAGTTGTGCTGCACATTTCTGACAGTGTTACTGTATGTTCTAGGGTCAAATTAATGTATGAAGCATTAAACAGTCAGTCTTTTCCTGTATTTTTTTTGTTCTCAAATTTTTTTTGGTTCTTTTCCAGGAATGCCAGTGTTCCGTGCCAGTACCTTGTGAAGAACTTTAATTTTGAAGCATACTTTA